GATTCTTCCAGAACATTAACTTGGACCTAATTTGTCATTAAGGATGCCCTAAAATACATCAGAGCTGTGAAATGAGTGTCTTAGGTCCTTTTACACAACTTTAGCAAATTGTAGAGAGAGTGGTAGATAACAACTGAGACACTCTCTCGGTGAAATTTCTTTTCAGCAAATTCTAAATTAAAATGTTAACGGATTTCCTTTTGGAGGTGGGGGTGGGGGGGAGGGAAAGGGGGTGTAACATTTTATAACAGATTTGGGTTTATTTTTTCCCCCGTAAATATTATATCTTAGAATCCTGTTGAGCTCAGTTCAGTTTACTACAATGGAACAAAAAAATCACAAATTACTTTTTGTCTTGATTCATTGAACGGGCGAGTAGATTAAAAAAATGGTTTCACCCACAAAATATAGAGTCAATTCACTTTATAGTGTATTGTGTGAAGCGCTTTGAGACATCTCAAAGATGTGATAAGGCCCTGTATCAAATGCAAGGATTATTAGTTGGTTAGGGTTGGGTTTTTTTCCGTTTGTGTCGCTAACACTGAAAGGCTTCTCCGCAAACGAAAGAAGCTGTCTAAAGCCACTATAAGGACACAGGGCTAAACTTTGGCAGAAAGCTTATTAAAAGTATAGACACAGAAGGAATTACCTGCACATTTTAGGAATAAAAGTAACTGCTTTTGATCTTGAAGCCAAGCTTCTGAGTCAGTCCAGCAGTAACAGCACAGAAAAGAATTTGAGAAAGGTTTAGAATGAGTGCAAGTCGCCATTCGAATCTTTGGGGTATCTTGAGTTGTAGCTGTATCTAAAAACAGTTTATACATGGGCAGGAAGTTAACGCAGACCACGCAGAGAAAGAAATCTTTGGTATCTTTGGTATCGATTAAATTACAAATGGAAAATTCAGTGAGGTAGCCTCTTTGGTTCTCACTAGAAGTAGAAAGAGCTTTTTACACACATACACACACACACACACACACACATACTTCAGACCTGGAAGCAGTTAGTTCAGGATTGGATGGTAGGTTGGTTGGGGTTGGGTTTTTTCCGTCTCTGTCGCTAACGCTAAAAGGCTTCTCCGCAAATGAAAGAAGCTGTCTAAAGCCACTATAAGGACACAGGGCTAAACTTTGGCGGAAAGGTTATCAAAAATATTTCCTGTTATGTATTCACTTTCCCGTCAGTACGTGCTATATTGTTCCACATAAAATCATTGCTCGTCCATGTATTATTAATCAGAGCGAAGGATTATTTTCCAGTGCTTATTGTGGGATAATTCTTCACCATTGAAAACTGAAAATGAGAAGTTGCAGTGCTTAAAGACCTAACAACCAAACGTTTATCTATCTCCTGCGAAAATATGGCGATGCATAATTTGCTCATAAGGTGTTTCAAAAGGCAACAGGATGAAACAAGAGAAGTGCTAAACTGTTACCATTTGAAATAATTCTAGGATATATTTCAATTAATCTTAATATGAGTAACTTATTGGGTATGACTACCTTGTTGATTTGCAATCTGTTGCAAGCAGTGTTTTGTAACTGTTAATACTTTAAAATAATTAAATAAAGAGGGTATTAAGGGGTATGGTGAAATGGCGAGAAATTGGGATTAAAAAGATCTGACAAGATCTGAAACTGGTGAAACAGGCCTGATGGGCTGAATTGCCTCCTCCTGCTCCTCTTTTAATATGTTCCTTAAAGAGTTTCTGCTATATAAAAAAACAAAGTACAAAAAATGGCATAAAATGTCATAAATAGAGATCATTTGAAAGCACTGCATCTTTCATATTTCATACACATTTATATTATTTGTTATTTTTTTTTAAAAAATCACCTTTTAAATATATAAGATCACAATAAATATCCTCAAAATAATACTACTAATCAATCAAATCGATCTTTTCTTGGTTTTTTTCCGAACAAACTTGGGTACTTTTTTTNCCCCTCTCTTTTTCTACTATTTCTTTCTTTAAAAGAAACGCTTAAACAACAACTTTCAGCTCTTAAGAGGGGAGAGAGAAAAAACAGCGTTATAACATCTGTAGGTACCATGACAAGCAATGAAGATATTACGCTCAACTGTGCGAACACGTTAACACACGGCGCATTTCTTACAGCTGAGCGTTGGCAGAACAACACCAGCCAGCCACACAGAGAGAAAGTTGCTCATTTCACTCCTCCCTGCAGGCAAGAAGCCCTCAAGTTAGTTGGTCCGATGGTGTCTTTTTTTTCACTCGGTTTCTTTGGAATATAGCTTTGGTAAAGAAGAAAACTGAAACATTCCTGGATAAAGCTATTGGACTTAAGAAGTACACGAAAAAAAACGGCACAGTCTTTTTGTACTTTAACTTTGTGGTGGTGGGGAGGGGGGGAGGTGGGGTGTGGGGAGAAGTTGAGTTGTTGATTTTATTGGGGTTTCCCCCCCCCCCCCCAGTTTGGTTCTTCAAAGTTGAACTCATCCATGACGTGTGCTCGGGCTCCATGCACAAGATGTGGAATGAATGTTTTGCACAAGAGAACAGAAATAGAAACTCTTAACTAACTCAATGCAAAGCAAGATGTCTCACACACACACACACTGTCCGTTGCAACAGTGCATTCCAGTTACCATTAAAACATATCTCTTTGTTCTTCCTTTTTCGTTGTTGTGCTTCGAGTGGAGAATAGACTTTGGTTTTCATAAACTATTGGTGATTTGTTGATTTTTTTTAACAAAGGAAAAGAAAACGCACATAAATAACGATCGCTTCGAAGCTATCATGAGGGGAATTACGCCAACTTTTAAAAACACGTGTGAAATTAGCCGTACAATACATTTGCAGCTAATTTGGAATATTGCCTGGGTTGCAAATTGGAATGGATTCGATCGCTTTGGAAACGCTTTTGAAGAAATAAACATTAAGATTCGATTTAAAATAAATTGGGTGCGATATTTGCCCGACGTTAACTTAACAATTACGACTTCTGGAGGTTGACTGGAAAAAAATAACAGGAACCACAATAATACAAAGGGAAATGTAATGGATTTGCAAACACCCCCATATTTAGTTGCATTTATCCAGACATGGGGGATGTGTTGCTATCTTTGGTAGAGGTGATGAGTTTGTATCCCAACATCTTGTGCTTGGAGACGATTGGAATTAATTCCTTCCTTTGGGAATTGCTTAAAACAGGAGGGAATTGGGAAAGCGAGTAGCCAATTTCCCTCCTAACATCGAAAGATAGGTCAATAGTGCGTTGAGCACTCAACTGCAGAGAGAGAGAGAGAAAGAGCACTGTATAAAATCTTCGAAGAGATCCACATCTCTTTGAAGTTGACTTTGGTTGAAGCGGAAGAGGTTTTCTGTTGTTCTGTACAACTTTTCTCAAAAAGAAAACTGCATAGGCACACGTTAAAGACAATATTCAACTTTAAGAGACAGAGAGCGTTGTTGGTCGAAGCAGTAAATAGTCTGTGGCATTGCTTCCTCCTTTTTTTTTCTTTGTTTCAACCCTATATTTTTTTCTCATTTCATACAAAAAAAAACTGCTTCCCCAAAAAACGACTAAGACATCCATTGAAACACAGTGTGCACGTTGCTTCCTGACGTGCTTTTGTTTCAGTCTTTTTTTGTTGCAGAACAATTTTAGGTGCAGAAAAAAGTTTCTTTGGTTTCGATTCAATAATAAATAGACAAAAAAAAGTATCTCAAGAGTCTTCGCCGCTGTCTTTCGAGCCTTTGAACACACCAATGAGCGATCTTCAAAGGGGCTGGGTTCAGTGGTGAATGTGCACATGTGGGGAATATACAATGCTATTTAGATCTGGCTTTTGTAATGGGGGAGAATGAAGGTGGAAAGCTTTTAACCTTTGTGCTTCCGCACTCAGCACTAGACAGCCTCTTTATACAGACTACCCAATGGTGAGATTGCAGTACTTAACAGATGTTGCCCTAGCATAGAATCTAGCTGGAGGGAGGAATGCATAGTAACATGGAGCTATTGGAAACAAAACAATATTTACTCTTCCGGGAGCAAATGGCTCTATTCAGTGTGTCATAGCTGTGTTACTTACATGTGTTCATGTGAGTGAGTTGGTTGGTTGGTTGGGTGGGTGATGGTTGGGGGGAGATGGTATGTCCTGATGGGATATTGCAAGAGAAGCCAGTTTTTGGTTACCGAAAGTACAGGAATGTGCTTGAAGGTTTTGTACTTGCATTCTCGCCGCTGTGACTATAAGTGGCTTAACTGCAAGAGAGCAGGGCATGTGTTACCAGTGACATTCAATGTGTGTCATGTGTCCATCTTAAACAGGTGGCTAAGAAGTGCCTTTGAAGTCTTTTTGTGCTTGCCTGCTCGCCCTAAATACATCGCCCACGCCGAGGGCTTCTTTGGTAACGAGCTAGCATGATTGTGTATGTAAATGGTCACTGACAGTCTGGGTTATAAATGGTGTTGAGTCAGTTTATTCCACCCACCAAAATGGATTTAGTGTAGTGTTGCTGGAAGCTGAGAGGGAAAATGAGCGAAGAAAGCACTCGGTGACATCAGGTGCCCCATTTTCTCATGGTTTTAGCCTTACATTTTAAAGCTGTGAAGAAATTTCATAAAATGTCTCAATCTGGTCTTACTTTGGTTTTCCTCAGTCGACCGAAACAAAACAGTTTGAAAATAAGACCAGATTTTGCAAAATTTTGCCCGGCCTTAAGTTTGGAGCCAATAGTCCTAAGTCTAACACCACAAGATATTTTGGAATCCTCTGATGTGACGTTGATGGATCCCAAAGCAGAGAACTTTGCAGAATATTGCTCAGCAACACAGCTCTCAGTTACTCTGCCTGGCATCATCTGCCAACTTTCCATTAATGAGACAGTTTCCCCATTCAGCTAACAGCATTGCTGCCTCCCTACTTCCCACCACCAACAACAATAAACACTTTGGGGGTGGATTTAGATGCAGGACAAGGTGGGTATTTGGAGTTGAGGTACAGATCAGCCATGGTCTAATAGAATGGCGGAACAGGCTCAAGGGGGATGAATGGACTAGTCCTGTTCCCATGTTCCCAGGACGGACGGAAAGACACAGTGCTTCTGTACGTGTAACGCATAGATTGTGCTATCGCACTCACCACTGAACCCAGTCTCTTCAAAAGAAAAGGGGAGAAAGATTAGACGGCTTTGAGTATCGTGCCCAGGTTCTGGAGCACTTTCCTCAATCATGCTTTGGTGCAAGTGCTAGAGGTGGAAGATGAAGCCCCTGGGCTCGAAAGGGCCTCATCCTGCCACTTGTCTAAGCTTCTTCTCCGGGCGTTCATAAAGAAATTACTGACCGTGCTCAGTTCCAGGCCCAGCTGTTGCGAGATTGTGATCTGCATCTCCTTGGAAGGGCGTTTGTTTTCCTTGAAAATGGCAAAAAGAGTCCGGCGCTGGAGGTCGGTGAAAACTAGCCTTGCCCTCTTTGGTGTATTGTTCTTCTCCTTGTTCTGTTCTTGTTCCTTGCGTTTGCACGCTGGAGTGAGGGGAGGGGGTTGGGTGGTGGTGGTGGGGGGTGGGGTGGGTGGGGGGGGGGAGAAGGAGGCAAAGGAGAGAGAGAGAGAGAGAGATGCTCAGAATCTATTCAATTTCGAATCGCTTCATTCCATACATTAATTCCTCTTCACAACTTATTACCGAAGTTGTGGAGTCCTGTATTGTAGTGGTTAGAGCGCTTGCCTCTCAAACAAGAGGACCCGGGTTCGATTCCCGGGCGGGACAAAACCATCGGCAAGTTTCCTTACTCCAACCACCTCTGTTTACCTAGCAGGTTGTAGGAACCCGGTTGTTAGTCGATTGGTGGATCACTTTCCGCTGGTAATAATCCCTACAAAAAAAATATGGTCATTCAATTCACGCTGGTTGTGGGACACCGCTGTGTGCCTGACATTGGCTGATACATTTCGGCCACACAATACCCAGTCAATCCACTTTACAATAGGCGTATCAAAACGCTGTGAAGCATTTCGATACGCCTGATAAGATGCTATATCAAACGCAAGGATTATTATTAAATCCCCCCTCCCTTCCCACCTTCAAGGCCTGTCTCAAGATGCTCCTCTTCGTCTGTGCCTTCGGTCACCCTCCTATCCCTAACCTCTTTGCCCTCCATCCCTCCTGATCCCAACCCTCAGCTCGGGTCCCAAACCATGACTGCCCCGTGCCTTGGGACGTCCTCTCGATATGAAAGGAGTTATACAAATGTAATTTGTTCTTGTTGTTGTTGACAACTTATTAGAGTGTTGGTCAACAGCTGTTGATTTATCAGTCATTGTCCTTTCCGAATTATCAATGACAAACATTTAATTTCACTAAAGAACTATCCAGCCACTGTTACTGCAATAATGATTTAATGGCCTGCTCTCTCTGTGCTGTACTTGTAGGGACTATATACAGATAGACACACATATATATAGTGTGCCCTTCATGCGGACAGCATCTCGGAGCACTTAACAGTGATGGAGCCTGACCCGAACCAGGGGGAGGTGACTGTAAGCACGGTCAAAGGGGAAGGTCTTCAGTCGTGATCTAAAAGATGAGGAAGGAGGGGGCAAGGTGCAGGCATTGGGGAAAAGCGTTCTAAAGTGTCGGGGCCCAGTTGCTGAAAGCAACCTCAAGTGAATAGTTTTGCAGTCGGATTCAACCCATAAGTGGTATATCTCGTTTTCTCATTTAAATAATGTACCAGCCCGATGTAAATAATATCTTTTACTGATGATATTTTCATCGCCCTGTTGTGTCTGCTGTCTTTTTCAGATGCTCCTCAACGAGCTATCCGAGGTGCTGAAACAAGATCCGCAATTCAACACAATAGTTTGTTTCTATAGTTTTCCTGCACCTTTCTTAAATTGCGTTAACCGGTAAGTACATTTATCTCTCCATGCTGCATATTAAATACAGTGTTTGAGAGGCTTACCCCAAGTGTGGTTACTATTGATTTTTAATAAGTTGGAAGAGAAGTAATATTTCACCCAAGGCTATGTGTTGAGGCAGATGTTTCCGGTAGATGGCAGTGTTGTACTTGTTATTCTCGATGGCAGATACAGTCATGTTATCCCACTGCAGTACTGCCATGGAAACACATTCCACAGACTGCAACCCTCTCCTACGCAGCAATGCTTCGCAGACAATAATAATATATAATAGTCCTTGCATTTGATGCAGGAACCTTGTCCCGTCTTCCAGACGTCTCAAAGAATACACTGTAAAGTGAATTGACTGTGTATTTGTGGGCGAAACGCGGCAGCCAATTGTGCACAGCAGTGTCTCACAAACAGTCGTGGATTGAGTGACCAATTTATTATCTTTTGCGTATGAAGGAATTATTGCCCCTGGAAAAGCGATCCGTCAATCGACTAACAACCGGGTTCCTTCTTACTGCAAGGTAAACAGAGGAGTAAGGAAACTTGCCCAACGTTTCGTCCTGCCGGGAATCGAACCCAGGTCTGTCACTTGCAAGGCAAATGCTCTAGCCACTGAGCTACAGGACTCCACAGGACAGATACTGTGCATAATTATCCAGCAAGGAATCCTGGAGTACAGCTTCGCCCACATCCGGTTCCACACTATCTCCAATAATATTAATGCTACCAACTGAGCCAGGCTGACACCTAAATGGTTGATTTATATACAATGCTTCATTAATATTTTTAAAAAAACTTTGTGCTTAAAACTGGGGGCCAGTTTGAACTTCAAAAAAATCACTTTATCATATCAATTTATCGCTTGAATTCTCTGGAAATTCCACGCGTAGGTGGGAAGCATGGAATTCTCAGTTTGGTTTGGATACTCTTAAGCACATCGATGGGTTTCCGCTCGTGCCAGACACCCGGCTGACCAAAATTTTAAAAAAATCATTTGGAAATGCGATCAATATACCAGAAGGATTATATCAGTGGAGATACATTGTGAATGTCAACACATGTTTGCTAATCAAGGCAATGCAAACATATGTACAAATATAATATATGTACAGATACAAAGATATCTTATCCTCGGGTGTTGAATCAACTTTGCCAGTAAATTTTGTTAATCATGTAAGTCATTTGACCAAAAGTTATTTATCACATGATTCGATAACAATGTGTAAATATTAGAGGTTATTTATTTTTCTGCCATTGCTGATAATATAATAATATTATCCGAGATGCTACCCAGCATGAAGAGTGCTGTATAGATTAAAGTTGTTGTTGTTGAGATACATTGAATGGTAGAGACAAGCAAAATAAAAGGATATTAGCGGTTCAGGAACAAGGAACAGGAGGAGGCCATTCAGTGCACTGAGCCTGTTCCATCTTTTTATTGGAACATATTAGACCTTTTAATCCCAATGCCCCACTCCTTTCACTATTCCTTTTCAGACCTCCATTACTTAAGACTCTATATCTCTTTTAAACACCCCTATTTCGCCCACAAAACATAGTGAATCCACTTTACAACATACTCTGTGAAGCGCTTTGAGATGTCTCAATGATATGACAAGGCGCTATATCAAATGCAAGGATTATTATTATTGATTCTGCCTCTACAACTTTCTGGGGTAGAGCGTTCCACACCTTCACAAGGTGTGATGAAATGCTTCCTGACCTAACTGTCTTGGCTCTGACTTTAAAAGCTAAACCCCCTCGGAACAGTGCCCGATACCCAGTAAGCAGTCATTTGCTATCTGACCTGTCAATTCCTTTCATTAGTTTAAATGCCTCAATCAAATCACCCCTTAATCACTGCTCTAAGCAAAGATAACCTCAGTCTACCAAACCTCTCATCATAGCAACGCCTTTCAACCCAGGTATTATTTCGCCCACAAAATATAATCAATTCACTTTACAGTATATCTTGTGCAGTGCTTTGAGACGTCCTGAAGACGTGATAAGGCACCAAATCAAATGCAAGGATTATTATTATCATTAATATTAAATGTGGGGACAGTTCTCTGTGTGGAAGTAAAATATAACTGTCCTTCTGTGGAACCAATCCATTGAAGGGGCGACCCGTGTGGTAGCAAACAAGCATTGCTAACAACCCAAACAAATTATTGCATTGGATTGCACAATGACGCTGGGGTTTGCAATGTGGAAACACACCAATTTTGTCCGAACCACTGACAAAGCAGTCGCCCCTCAATTGATTGAACGGGATCCATTGGAAATAAGGTCTAAACCCATTTTAAACAAACCGCCTGTGCAAAGTCAACAGAGCAGTATTGCTAGGACAGCTGATAAAGCTGTGGCTCTTGTTTATGCTATCAAATTAATTAATTAATCAATCAGTCACATAACTATATGGTTGGGTTGTCAGACGCACTGTCGACCACGCTTCTTGTGTGTGACTGAGCATTTACCAACAGCAGCAAAAGCACTGGATTGAGTGAGGGGGGGAAAAATAACTTATTCTGATTTATTCTGATGAATCTTCAGACACACACACAGTATCAGCACAAACACTCGCACACAACGACCACCACACATTAGCAGAGACAGAACCTGCAATTACCTTGAATACTGTCTCTCAGTGAATCCATTGCAAATTAGTATGTAGTGGAATAGCAACTTATACAGTTGACCTCATCTCTCCCCCATTGATAAAGCTATTTGCACAATTAACAAGAATGCATTTTGATTGCAAAGTTCTTTTCTCGCTGCGTTGCATCCGAGCAAAAGTAAGATTAATTCACTGGCATCGGATAATAATTTAACTCAATTGAAATTGCAAACTATATCTAAGAGGGGAGGGCAATTTGCTGTATTGAGTACAAATGCTGTGTTTGTTATGGTTACATGTGGACTAGAAAGCCGCAAACAGTACGCATTTATTGATATATCTTGTCTTTTGAATGAACATAGTTAATGTCCTCTCCCCATCCTCCATGGTATGTATTTACAACAATAATAATAATAATCCTTGCATTTGATTACAGCGCCTTATCACATCTTTGAGACATCTCAAATCACTTCACAGAATATACTGTAAAGTGAAGTGACTGTATGTTTTGTGGGCAAAATATTATTTTGTGCACTGTGTATGTTATGTGTTTTTGAAAAGTGTTTGGCCCCAAATTGCATCAAAAAATAAAATACTCCTATTGTGCTTTTTTTTAATTCTATTTTCTAGCTCAGTGGTAGAGCACTAATCTCGCAAGCAAGAGACTGGGTTCAATTCCAGGCAGGGCTACTCTTTGGGCAAGCCTCGGTTTATCTAGCATTAAGTAGGAACCAGGTTGTTAGTGGATTGATGGATTGCTTTTCCAGGGGTAATTATTCCTTCAAAAAATAATAATAATAATTTGGTCACTTCAATCCATGATTGTTTGTGGGACACTGCTGTGCCCAATTGGCTGCCACGTATCGCTCACAAGATATACAGTTAATTCACTTTATAGTATATTCTGTGAAGAGTCTTGCGACTTCTCAAAGACATAATAAGGTGCTATATCAAATGCAAGATTATTATTATTATTATATATTTAATCCACCCCAA